CATTAAGAGCCCGAGCTAAATAATTTAGCTGTATTTATCTTCAGATGTTATTTATCTTGTGATATACATATATTATGATTAAAATAATAAAAACAGAATATTATTGTTTCAACATCGATATGTCTACTCAAATTATATCTAATCTTTCAATTTCGAGTAGATAATTTATACACTTGATTGAAATAATACAATCGTTTGACTTTATGTATACGAGTACATACCACGGTTAATTAATTTAATTTTTTATATTAATAATAAATTTCTAGTTAATTATCACAGTCAAAGATCGACGTGGTTATTAGGAAATATTATTATAATTATAGTATGGGCCAGAGGACGCTATTTTTTTTTACTGTTTAATGATCGGTAGCTGCAAATAAATTAGGTACCTCACGAAAAAAAAACAAGGGAAGTGCGATGTTACTATGTTTGTATCGGAACGTGTGTCGCCAAACTCACACAAATACACCATTAATAATTATATATTGCACTACAAATAAAAAACCAATTAAATATAGTATGTTTTATTTAAGTCAAAACTACCATAATTATCGTGCCATTTGCGCGTAAGTTTAATTTGAATTACGTAATCAAGGTGTCTTTATGTGCTTACAAAAGATTAAACCAAATAAATTATAATAATTACGGCTTACTTAGCTGTTGTACGAGTAATGTATGTGATCTCGTGAACTTAGTTTAGTTTGCTTTGATAAAAATAGTGCAATTACGGAATACACACGAAGGCATTATTAGATCATCTAGAAATAAAAAGGCATCAGGCAAGAACTACAAAAACGAATGTTAAATACTGGTTAGCAAAGTGGGAAGCATGTGCATTGTCAGTATTCTTTACTCATTCGAAAGTGACTGAGGCCAATGGAGACAGTTGCATCCATTTGTGCGCTTCACTTTTATTACTCTAAAATCCCGATTTATGTGGTGGACGCCTCACTCTTTTTCAGAATTTACTCCAGACTATTTTAATAAAAAAAAAATTATTGATTTTTTTTGAGCAAGAATTCTTTTCCAGTCACAACTTAGTATCAATAAAATGAAATTTACCTAAATATGTAAACTATTTTTAGAATGTATTAATATCAAATGAATAAATCCCTTCTGCTCAATAATAGAAATAATGAGGAATTTTGTTTTATAATAATAACTGAAGCACATTTAAGAACATACGAATTTTTGTTATTTCTGTTGCTTAATAAGGGGTTTTATTAAATCTGCTGTATTTGCTTTTGATAATACATATTTTAATTAGTAGGAAAAGTTTTTTAATCAGGTAATTTAATATGACTTGATTGATAATATTATTATAATAAATAATCTCTACAAAAATGATTTTATCACTGCATAATAAATATTTGTACATATTAATATATCGCCCCAAGGCTCTTCATTGGGTCATTAGTCAAGGGTATTTTAGTTATCAAGTCATTTACTTGATAACTAAAATAAATTTCTCTCTTATAGGTACTGTGATACAAATGGTGTAAAATGACCGTAAAAAACTTCATTATATAGATCTTTAAGGTTCTTTATCGTTTCTCTATAAACGTTTGAGAAATGTAACTTGTGCAACGAAAGAAAAAAGTATTTTTGACTTAGATTTTTATATCATTTTTTATCTACTAAGCTTACTGTCTAATGTGGCCATTTAAAGATATTCAAATTTCTAAGCTTTCAAAAAATATTAATTAAAGCTATTAGCTTATTCTCTGTGTTGCGGACTATGTAACTTTTGCTTGATATAAAATAACACCTTTGTTTTCATAAATATTGTTTATGTAACTTCATCATATCATGCCTGCACCTATTTGTCGTTGTAATTTTATGCTATAACTAGCGACTCATCTTCGCTCCGCTTGGGATCGGGTTCGTCCCTATTGACGTTTTAAGGTTTGGTGTAGATTTCTCAGAGAAGAGATAATATTTTCCCGCAGTAAAAAGTAACCTAATGTTGACCCGGATAACACAACACTATACATATAATAAAATTGTAACTAAGCCGAATCTGTACATTATATACATATTTTTTTGAAAATCTTATTGAAATATCGATTATTATTTATTATCGATACAGAGGCCGATTCTATAGTTTTTAGATTTTTATCTGTCTGTCTGTTAACGCATCACGGAAAAACCACTTGAGGGATTTTCATGAAATTGGGTATGGAGGATATTTTAAGACACTTGGAAGGACATGGGTAAGCTTTATCAAACATTCCTTAAGGGGGTGAAAAGAGGGGTGGAAGATTGTATGGAGGGGGGGGATTTATCATTTCTCAAGTAAGGCACATATATTTTTTAATTTTTTAAAGTATTTGTGTCGCTAGTTTGAAATAATTTTCGTGAATATCCATAGGCAATATGGTACCTACCTCATATATAGTAAATAATAAAAAAAATTTTTTTTCCAGAATCATCAGAAAAATATGTCGGTGAACTAGTATGCACACGTTTGATTAAACAAAACAATTTTAGTCAGCTAAAACCTATACGTTCAACTGTAATTACATATTCAGTCGCAAGCCATGGGTTAATCATATATAAACCCATACACCTATAATAAATACATAATATTATGTTTTAATAGCTCATGGGAAATGTCTCATAAGCTCATAAAACCAATGATTTGCAGTGTATCAACGACGCGCGTAATGTAGGACATGCTAGTTAAACGCCTGAATACTCAAATGGCTCAAATACTCAATTAAGAACGAAAGGTTAGCCATGTCTGATATTGACAAAATGAAGCGTAAGCGAATACTTGAATTATGAATATCGTGAGAATAATGATGCAAGCTGTATTAATAATTGCTTTTTATTTAAGACCATTTATGAAGAGCACTATATATCTATGAATGTATAGTTTTTTTGTAGGTTTTTACGAATGTTCTTAAATTAAAATTGTAATTTTATTACCTATTCTTTTCTGTAATTTGATTTGAATAAAATGCATTGTATTATATAACGCATTGCATTGTAATTATAGCGTATTGTATTTTAAATTTTGATTCTGTACATAGAGTTAAAATTATATAAAAATTAAATTTTCAATGTTTTGAGAACAATTGAATGTCTAATTTTATTTTCATTAAATTACTTGGAAATAAAGTACCCCTTATATTTTATTTTATCTTCATACTAGCGGCTCACCCTCGCTTCGCTCGGGTTCACCTCTAGAGTAGCACAAACAGATCTATCCCACGGGAACCGTCCATTTTTCCGGGATGAAAAGTAATCTGTTGTTTGACCGGCAATATACCTTATATCAGTGTGCCAAATTTTACTAAATTAGGTGCGTAAGTTGTTGTGTACTAAGCTGTATAAGTTACTATAGTTTTTTAACTATCCCACCGAAACTCTTAAATTTTCTAGAATGAAAATTATGTTAGATGTTGACCGGGGATATAAGGTACTACCATGCAAAATTTCATTTAAATCGGTTCAATAGTTTCGGAGATTAGCCCGTACAAACAGACAGAGAAACAAAAAAAAATAAAAAAAAACTGGATTTGTTCTATTTCTCTTCTTTCGGGATGTAAGAAGAGAACTGACTCGGTTTTTAGCATTTTTATCTAACCAGTTTTATTACGTTTATGTATAGATAGAATAAATAACGTATAATAAAACAGTAATATATAAAATGAAAATAGTTATAGCGAGTGTACCTTAGGAGATAGACATATACTATGTAGAACTTTTTTATAGACTTTTTTAAGACTTACAATTTTCTTGCACAATGTTTTGATCTATCTCTTAAGGTTGAGCCTACGTTAGCCATATAAATTTCTACGGATGATTCGATAGAACCAGTTATTGTGTTTTCCCGTGGGAATGAATAATTTGCCTGCCGTAAAAGGTATCCTAAATGTTGACCCGAGCACTAAGTTTTATCACTATACAAAATTTAGTTAGAATCGGTTGAGTACTTTTTGCGTGAAACGCGCACATCGATTTGACTAAAATAGTTTTATTATCCGTATAGATAAGAATAAAGATTGCGAGTGTAACTTAGGAGATAGACATATACAATTCAGAACTTTTCTGTAGGACTTTTCAAGACCTACAATTTTTTAGTATATTGTTTTGATGTATGTATGTCTTAAGGCTTAGCCAGCGGAAAGTTTCTAGGGAGGACTCGATAAAACCAGTTATCGTATTTTCCCGTAGGAAAGAAAGATTTTCTTGAAGTAAAAGGTATCTAGGCAGTTGTATCCCAGTGGTAACGCGCTCGTTTGGGAAACCGAGTGAAGCAAGTTCAAATCCCGGATCACGCACCTCTGATATTTTTATGTGCGAATCATTTCTAACACAATTATCACTTGTCTTAACGGTGAAGTAAAACATCGTGAGGAAACCTGCATGTCCGTCAACCTGCACTTGGCCAGAGTGGTGGACTATGGCCTGATCCCCCTCGTACTGAAGGGAGGCCCGTGCCCAGCATTGGGACGTTAAAAATACATCGGCGGGTAGATGTGTTAAGAAGTCTTAGCGCAGCTCCCTAAATAAAATACGATTTAATAGTTAAAAGTATATAATAGTGATAATATTTCCGTTTTAAAACCCTTCTATATCGCTGATAATGAAGTTATAGTGTTATCTCAGTATTTGATTACATTATTTTCTAAACAGTCTAAAGTATTATATGGTATACTTATTATGCATTTTACGATCTAAATTGGTGCCGACGGTGTTCACAATGGTGTATAACGTATTTATAGAAAAACAATAGTATTAATCAAAAACGTTTTATAAAAAAATAAGTGTGTGGAGGGTTATCTATTTGAACATTTATTTGCCTATCACTACACAAAAATCATCACTGCGCTAGAACAATACAGTAATTTCGCTATTACATCTAGTTGAGTCGTAGCGCAGGAAGATATAGACAGAATTGCAACAGAATTTACCGACAGAACCAAGTTCGCGTCTCAGTAGCTGGCTAAAGATTTTTTGATTTATTAAAATTTAATTTCAACTCGTAAAAGATGTCTTCAATATCAAGTACCGTTTGTGCGGGATGTAAAAACACTCTGCCTAGAAAAGAATATCTTACTTGTGCTATCTGCAAAGCAAAATATGATAACGAATGTGGCAATGTTCCTTTGCGACAGTTTCAACAGATGGATTCGCAACACAAAAGCAATTGGAAGTGCCCAGAATGTTTAAATAAACAACCCAAAATGGGAAACATTCATACACCTGTAAGGTCCGCTGTAGTTAGTGGCGAAAACAAAACTTGTACTGATACCTCCGAAGTGTCATACGTAACAACACGCAAGAAACCAAGTAAGTCGCCGCCTCATATCACTTCAAAATGTAAGGACAATGATTTCGATTTAACGGAAAGCAAATTGCGTGACATCATTCAACAAGAGTTAGCTTCTACAATACAAAAATTAGTTTCTAGCCAGCTCAATACCATTAATAATCAGATATCTGGTTTTTGTGAGTCAATAAATTTTATTAATGCACAATACGAAGAAATGAAATCCAAACTGGAAGAAAAGTCGAATATGGTGGATCAATTAAGAAAAGAAAACGATCAACTTAAGACTACTATTAAAGATTTTGCATCGAGATTAAATAACGTTGAAGTACATATGAGAGAAAGCAACATTGAGATCAATGGCATACCAGAAAATAGAAGTGAAAATTTAGCCAATACAGTAGTGCAACTAAGTCAGATTATTAATTGTCCAATGACGACAGACGAGATACTTCATGCAAATAGAGTAGCCCAGCTTAACAGGAATGCCGAAAAACCACGCTCTGTCATTGTTAAGCTACGTAGCTCTAGGCATCGTGATGCCGTCCTAGCAGCCGTCGTCCAATTCAACAAAAAAAATCCCAATGAGAAGCTGAACTCCCACCATCTCGGGATTGGCGGAGCATGTAAACCCATTTACGTATCAGAGCATTTAACACCAGCAAGCAAATCACTCCATGCTGCCGCTCGCATTAAAGCTAAAGAAATGAATTATCGCTTCACCTGGATAAGAAACGGCAAAATTTTTGTACGCAAGGATGAATTCAGTCAAGCCAAACTAATTAAAAACGAAGATAGTCTCAAACTTATAAATTAAATCTCTTAGTTACAAAAAAGTTACGGTAGTTTCATAGATACAATGTTAGATATATACTATCAAAATGTTAGAGGCTTAAGAACAAAAACTAATGATGTGTTTAAAAATATACTTAATTCGGATTATAAAATTATTGCACTCACGGAGACTTGGCTGAACTCAACGATTTCTAGTAATGAAATATTCGACTCCCGTTACGTTGTGTACAGGAAGGATCGTGCGTGTTCAGAGAACTCAAAAAAAGATGGTGGTGGTGTGCTAATTGCTGTATCTCGTGACATTTCATCGTACCGAATGACTCACTGGGAAAGTGATGACGAAAACATATGGATTGTAGTGGACGTTACTGGTAATCGATCTATTAAAAAAATTGGCCTTTGTGTTGTTTACATGTCACCACCTGTTAAAATAGAAAAATTGGTAAAGTATCTTGAAACAGTGGATATAGTGACTAACCAAGTCGATGATGTTGTTATAGTAGGAGATTTTAACATGAGTTTTATAAACTGGAATAGTAGTGATAGTTGTACGTATATGACTCCATCTAATTATAATAACGTACTTGGTTACTCATTAATAGATTTCCTGTCGACAAATGAACTCTATCAATATAATAACATTAAAAATTGCAACAATGGTCTTTTGGACTTGGTCATCACCAACATAGCAAATACATGCGTAACTAGACCACTCGATACATTAAGCAAATTAGATTTGTATCATCCAAATTTATTAATAAATATCTCGTACCCTAATATATCTTACCTGCGTCCGAAGGCTTGTAATAGTTATAACTTTTATAAAGCTGACTACGAACCCATTTTGTGTGAACTTAAGAAAATTGATTGGTGTCGTAAATTTATTAATTGTGAAAATATCAATGCTATGGTCGAAATATTTTATAATGTACTGTTCGAAGTAATAGACCGACTTGTTCCAAAGCGTAAGAAATACAATTCTAAGTACCCTATTTGGTTTAAACACAACCTCATCAAATTATTAAAAGCTAAAGACAGAATGCATGCTAAATATCGTAAATATGGAAATCCACGTGATAAATTAGAATTCCAACTTTTGCGCAGTCGTTGTCATCATTTGTTTGATGTTTATTACAGCGAATACAAAAAAAACATCGAAAATAACATCTCAAAAAATCCAACCTCTTTTTGGAATTTCTATAAAAACAAAAGACAAGTTAAGTCTTCGTTGCCTGTTTCTATGGTCTTAGATAGCAAAGTAGGTAATACGGGAAATGACATGCTAATCTTTTCGCAAGTCATTTCTCTTCTGTTTACACCGAAGATACCTCTAGCGTCCCACTGGAAGAAATTAATGTAAAGGTTCTTGGCATGGAGAAATTAAAATTCCAAGAAACAGAAGTCCTTAAAAAAATTAAATCCTTAGACCCCTTAAAAGGTGCAGGCCCGGACGGTATTCCCCCTCATTTTGTTAAAAGATGCGGCTCTGCCTTGGCTCTTCCTTTGTCGCAAATTTTCAATCGCTCCATAAAGGAAAGTATCTTTCCAGATGAATGGAAAAAGACGCGTATTGTACCAGTCCATAAAAAAGGAGATCGATCAGACATTAAAATTACCGCCCTATATCCATTTTGTCATGTTTCTCAAAGGTGTTTGAAAGTTTAATATATCCCAAACTTGCTAAATACTTCAATAATATCTTCATTAGTTCACAGCATGGGTTTAGAACTGGGTTATCAACCCAAACAAACCTAGTCGTGTTGGTTTCTGACTTGGCGTTAGCGACGGATAAGGGGGAACAAATTGATGCCATATACACTGATTTTAGTAGTGCCTTCGACAAAGTGGACCATAAAATACTTCTTGATAAGCTATATCAGTATGGACTGGGGATTTCGTTAGTTAAATGGTTTAAATCATATCTTACTCAAAGACCATTAACCGTCAATGTCACAGGATTTGAATCGGAAACATATTTTGCTAAAAGTGGGGTGCCGCAAGGTTCACATTTGGGACCTCTATTGTTTCTTGTTTTTATAAACGATATAACCGAAAATATTAAGTACTGTAAATGCTCATTATTTGCGGACGATCTTAAATTATATAAAACGATCACATCAAGTGATGACATAAATTTGATCCAGGATGACCTTAATAATATCACCGAATGGTGCCGCCATAATCATATGACTCTTAATGTTAGCAAATGTTTTCACATTAAATTTACTCGAAAAAAAAAACCACTTGTGTCTAAATATACTATTGGAAACGAATTAGTGAAAGAAGTATCTGAGATCAAAGATTTAGGAGTCACTATTGACAGCCGTTTAACTTTTATCTCGCATATTGATAAAACTATCCATAAAGCCGCACAAATTCTAGGTTTTATCAAGCGGAATGCACATGGTTTCAGTAGGGCAACAAAAATTGTTTTATTCAACGCATTGGTACGCAGTTGTCTTGAATACGCTAGTGTGGTTTGGAATCCTTTGTATAGTGTTCATTCCCAACGCATTGAGAGCATCCAACGCACTTTTACAAGATATCTTGCATTCTGTGAAGAGAATCTCTCTCACAGACAGCCTTATCGCGAAAGATTGGATAAGTTCAATATTCTGTCTCTCCGTGATAGGCGCGAAATTCTTGACTTAAGATTTTTACAAAACATTATACACAATCAAGTTCTGAGCCCAGATTTAATGGAAAGTATTTCAATATCTGTCCCCTCCAGAAATCCTAGGAACAAGGTCCATAATATATTTTTCATACCTAGAGTGAGATCTAACCTGGGTAGCCAAGCCCCTGTTTTACGTATCTGTGCTAAATATAATAACCTTCAGAAATCGATACCAAGCATCGACATTTTTCACGATTCACCCTCTGTTTTTAGACGTAGGCTATTAGATTACTTTAATAAAAAAAAAACATAATAATTTAAATTTAGGTAGTAATTAATTTTTTACTTTTCTTACTTTTAACTATTGTTTACAGTGAACGCTATGTACACTTGTTATAGATATACATATCAGGTAGTTAACTTATATTACTAATAAGATTATCAGAAATGTTTTATATGTGTATTGTTAGTGTTTTTTATTACTTTTCGCGTGAAACGCTCACGCAAAAACAGACAAACAGAAATACAGGCAAACAGACAGACATTTTTTTAATAACTATTGTTTTGGGGTCTATGTTGTGTACATAATACTTTACAAATACACAAAAACATCTATCCCAAAGGGAACAGTACATTTTTCCGGGATAAAAGGTAACCTATTTGATCTAATGTATGAACTATATATATTAATGTAAAGTTTCATCAAAATCCAATCAGTAGTGTTTGTGTACTAAGCTGTATAAGTTACTGTAGTTTTTGATTATCCCACGGAAACTCTTTAATTTTCCGGGATGAAAAGTAGCTGATTTGTTTTTGTCATGTATGAACTATATTATTGTAAAGTTTCATTAAAATCCAATTAGTAGTTTTTGTGTACTAAGCTGTATAAGTTTTTATAGTTTTTTAACTATCCCACGAGAACTATTTAATTTTCCGGGATAAAAAGTATCTAAGATGTTGCCCGGGGATATAAGGTATACCCATGCAAAATTTCATTTAAATCGGTCCAATAGATTCGGAGATTAGCCCGTACAAACAGAAAAACAGACAAACAGCTCGCTCGGGTTCGTCCATACCTACGAATATGTTGTATTATTTCTTTAACCATTTGTCCAAATTATATGCAGTAAAAGGGAAAAGTCTTTTGTTTTAAACAGTTTAGACGATAAATTTACTTATTTTAATAAGAATTCATAATTGTTGATAATATGACCAATAAACATGACCTACCGATTTAAATGATTTTTTTAATATAAAAAACTACTTTTTGTAACTTAAATATAAAAGTTAGACATATGCTGTCGCTGACTTTTTTGTAGGCATTATTAAGCTCTACAACTTTTCTCTAGATCATAATCATATATCTCTCATCGTTAAGGCAGCGTTCGTAAGAAATGTTTTCGTTCGACCGTTTTTTCTCCGACTTAATTTGCAAATCCGACTACCACGAAATAGCCTTTTCATTTTTCGGGTTAATATATAGCCTATGACACTTAGAAAGAACGTGGCTTTCTATTGGTAAAAGAATTTTGCAAATCGGTTCAGTAGATCCAGAGATTACCCCCTACAACGTCACAAACTCACAAACCCACAAACTCACTAACTCACAAACTCACAAGATCACAAACTTTACCTCTTTATAATATTAGTATAGATAAATGATATTGAAAAACTTCTCTAAAAAAATATCTAAAGATGACTTTTGGAAACGTGTCAAAATGTACATACTTAGGCTTCTTGAAACAGACGGATTTGAACTTTGTAAGCTTTGTCGTTAGTATAAAAGAGCTCGCTTGAGTATCAGCGTTTTAGTTGCATTTAGGAATGGGACACACACGTTTCATGTTTCTTTGTTATTACATAATATAGAGTAATCCTAATAGAAAAAAATAAATTCGAAGAGAAATTATATTGTTAACTCAAGCAATAAAATACATTCATACACAATTTCTATGTAATATTGAATGATAGACATGCATGAAGCAGGTAGCAATTTAACAAGATTTTTTTTGCATAATTGTACAGGAGACAGTCACTTTTCCTCATAAATGAATACATTTTTTATTGCTACAATTATGTGTGTAGCACATGTGTTCTGCTAAATAACATAAAATTAATAATTTTGCATTTTAATATTTTATCATGACATAATTTGTCGTCCAGGTAACTTGCAACGCCTACATTCTAGCTTTATTGATTTTACCGGAAAATACGTAGGTGCATCCATGAGGGTGGGCTCCATCGGAGGATGGAGGATGGAGGCAGCTTCCTCTTACTCACCCCAATAAGGGAGATGTTTTGGGGAGATAGACTCTTGATTAAATAGGATGCCCAAATCAATAACTGCATCCGCAGAATCTTCTCGAACCCCACGTGCAATTGCATATAAGTTGCTCTCTCTCTAACGTGCGTGGGGGTTGCGCGTCAGGATTCGCGCAGATATAAACAAAATCAATCAAACTGTACCTAGAAGGGGAGAATGGAGGGGGGGGGGGGAGGAACATATCTAGGTATCCTAGATAGGTAGCTATATTGATTTGCTTGAAAATCTAGGAAATGTCATTTATTAAAGGGCAGGGCGTGGCATTTTTCACAAGGCTTTATGCATAAATGTTATGCAATACTTTCTTAATTTTAATTATTTAAAAAAATATTATTAGATCGATAACAAATCTAATAGTAAATTAATTGTTAAAATTGGTATTTGTAATAATTTCAATGAAGTTTTATTCATTTAGGCTGATTGGCACTTTCTTTGTTCTCCTTGTATTAGCTACTATTTAATACAAAAATAAAATAAAAATTCATATAATTGTTTATGAGGCAGTGGTAGCCCAGTGGTAATGCGCTTGGGAAACCGAGTGAAGCGGGTTCAAATCCCGGGTCTTGCACCACTGATATTTTCATGTGCGAATCATTTCCAACATGGTTACCACTTGCCTTACGGTGAAGGAAAACATCGTGAGGAAACCTTCATGTCTGAGAGAACCTAGCAGTTTTCGAAAGACATGTGAAGTCCGCCAACCCGCACTTGGCCAGCGTGGTGGACTATGGCCTGACCCCCCTCGTATTGAAGAGAGGCCCGTGCCCAGACGTGGGACGTAAAAAAGGGCTGAATACATACATACATAATTATTTATGAACACCTTGATTCAATTCGAATAAGTTTTAAAAAGTTTGAGACTCTGGAGAAATTTGAACCCCCTACAGACACTCTTTGTTTTTTTGGGATCAAGGAATGTTCTTTGGAACAAGATTTAAATAATAAGTTTGACCACTTTTATCTTCATTATATCCTAAAAATTGCAAAGTTAATAAAAGATTTAGTTTCGACTCTGAGCAGTAATAATACCCTCATAGAATTCATCAAATTCTTTCAGCTGAAATAAAGTTTTTATATTATTACTAGTTTATACGTATATAAAGCAGTTCCTGAAATTATTTCACACAAACAAACATGCAAATGAAAAAAATATGATAGTGACTGCAGTACATTAGTGACTGCAGTACGTTAGTATGTCCACAGTACACTCGGTATCACCTGTTCCTATAGGACAATTTAAGTTTAATACAGGTTAGATATAAGTCCAGAAGAAAAGAAAGAAATCTATCAATTGAGGTTGAAAAAGAATCATAATATATTATTCATGCAAAATAAGGTTTAGGAAGGAACTAGTGGGCAATAATATTAACCTTATCAGTTACGCCTGCTTATATTCAAAGCATGGCTTAGAGAATATAAAGAAGTTCTTTCTTTTCATACATTAAAGATTACTTTGTAATTTTGGATCCAACGCTTCCTTTGTTCTTTTAACGGAATATAAAATTAAATTTAATAACACTGACTGTTAATTACACATACTTTAGACTTAATAGTCTCAACAGTATTATAATATTCGTTCACCGTCTCCTTTTCATAAGGTGAAGCTGGTCAAGTGTCAGTATTATATAGATATTTTCTAAAAATTTAATTAGCTCAACTTATCAAACGGCAATAGCGAGGCTTATTTTATTAATCTATATGTATATATAATAAAATACCAATCAAGCGAAATCTCTACATGAAATATATTTTTCTTTTAAAATAACGCCTACAAGGTATTTTGTACTTACAGAATATAGATCCCGAAACAAAAGTTATTAAATTTTTTGTCTTTTCGTCTGTATGTCTGTGTGCATTTTACGCAAAAAGTACAAACCCGATTTTAATTAAATTTTGTGTAGTGATTACTTAATACTTAATACTCCATCATTTAGGATACCTTTTACTAAAAGAAAATCTTTCATTCACATGGGAAAACACAATAACTGGTCGGTCGAGTAGTCCATCATACCAAAATTTCAATTATTTATTACTCAAAAGCTTTAACAGCAGGTGGTCATTAACATGTTTAACAAATTTGTGCGGTAAGATCCTCCCTTTTCATGGGAAAATGCAAAGTTTTGTTCAAGTGCAAGTAGCTCATTTTCATATATTTCTGTACATAGAATAAAACAAAGTCCCTGTCGGCCTCCATCTGTTTGTACGCGTACTTCTTTTAAGGGACGCAACAGATTTTGATACTATTTTCACTTATAGAAGGAGTAATAAACGAGAAAGGGTTATGTAATGTGTATATACAAGATCCATATCCATTCTAATATTATAAATGTGAAAGTGTGTTTGTTTGCTTGTCCTTATTTCACGTCGAAACGGAGGGACGGTTTGGCGTTATTTTTTGTATGGAGATAGTCGAAAAGCTGGAGAGTAACATAGGCTACTTTCTATCGCGGGAGATCTTCTCATTCCCACGGGTAAACAGGTTATAATACAATCAAAAAATATATTTATGATCAAAATTACTTGAAACTTGGTATTAATGCTCTTCAATAAAATTAAATAAATACGTGTTTTAGCATTTTTCGAAATTTATCTTATAAGGAGGTAAAATAGGGGATGAAAGTTTGTATGAAACTACCTTTTTAGAGATTTTTTTTGTAGTTTTAGCGCGAGCTTAGCTGCGGGTTCTGCTAGTTTGTATATATTTTGTACAAGATGGCTGAACGTTGACGTTGTTTTGTAAAAAAAACGTAAACTTTAAGAGATACATCAAAACAATGTACTAGAAAATTTTAGGTCTTATTAAGCCTGCGAAAAAGTTACGATAACATATGTATCTCTCCGAAGGTACACGCATAATAATTATTTTTATCTATTTAAAACGTATCTAGGAGAGAACCCGAGCGAAGCGAGAAGAAGTCGCTAGTTATAACTAAAAAAAATACTGAGATCAAGGATTTAAATATCTAAAGAGAAACTATATATATAAAACGTAATTTTTATATTTAATTTATTAATAAATAGTTGAAAGCAATAAAAAATTATTTAATATTTAAATAAAATTGACTTTCATTATTTGGATCTATTATATTTTCTTTTTTTGGGGTACACGCCGCGACAAGCACGGCAAGGCATGCAACAAGGTAGATCATTTTCCTCGCATTGAATTTGTTTACAAAAGTGCGTGAGCGGTTTTGGTTTGGCAGGAGCTCTGGGTGTAACTAGTTCTACCTGCGAAAACCGGTAACTGATGTAGCTTATCAAAAGATATCTCTTATCGCATTAGTAATTTTTCTTTTTATGTAAAATAGCTTAAATTAAAAATAGATAAAAATGATTTTTAAAGTGTTAAATGAATACCTCAATATTCCCCGTGCGATTAGGTTCATCTGTCTGCTTGCCAATTTTAAGTAGAAATACATCTTTATCGGGATGAAGAATTTTTTGCGCTTTTACACCCTTTGGAGCATTACTGGGGGTCACATTGCATGTATTACAAAGAGTATCGTGAGCTTCTTTCTTACTATAAATCAATTCTGAGTTAAGTGCTGTTCTGTTAGTGAGTGCCTCGCATATATCATCAGGTATCTATAAAATTAGAGGATTTTTAAACTCTTATAGCGATTGGTACATATATAGCTTTAAACTAGCTAAATAATATATAAAAAAAATTACTTGGAAATTCAGCCTGTTCGCAGGTCCGCCGTCATCTCCAGGGAACCCACACGTATCAGAGCACACCGAGCTGTCATCATCACAAGTGCATTGATTTTGCAGTTTTAACTGAGAAGGCGTCAGCTTTGGTGGCTTCGAAGTGCTTTTTGGAATTCTAATTTTTACCTAAAAAAAATATTTTGTAATATCTTTGGTATGCATAATATAATACTAGATAATTTTTTAACTTTTAAATTCTAAATTATTATAAACATAATATATAATCTTCTATATACATATATAAAACAAAGTCGGGTTTATTACACTTATAATTCGAGAACTGCTGGACCGGTTTTTATGATCTTTGTTTTGTTGGATTTGTCTTCTCCACGAATAGCAGAATAACTATTAGAACATTGGAGAAATTCACGAAAAAAAAATTGAAAAACAATATTTATTCCATAAGCGTCAAAACGTACGAATCGAACCTGAGCGAAGGGCTAAGTCGCTAGTATACATTATACTTAAAACTTAAAAGTAGTATTAACACGTTCACTGCGGTTCACCCACAATCGGCCCGACGCGGTACCAAATCAATGTGCGCACAGGAAAAATAGGTCTCTCTCGCTTGTGTGGAACTTGTTTCCTGGGAATTTCTACGAGGATGACAGGGACGAATATAGTTTTCGATTTGCGACTAACAATGTAAAAATATAGCAATTTAATAACGCGGCAGGCCTATCTCGACCTCCGCCGCTTAGAACATAAAAAAAGTTATCTCAGTGCGGGGGCGGGCCTGTTTTGGTGGATGACCGCTCGCGGCCTGCTGACGCACTGTGCAGATGCGTACGCGTCGAGCCGCCTGTAGTGTTGTGCTTGCTACGGGAGGAGGACACGCGTGCGCTCGTCGGTTTCGTGCAAACTTCATTACAATAGCGCATTGGAAAAACAAAAAATAATACTAGAAAATGATAGTGATATCGAAGAAGAATACATTGGTTCAAATTTTGAAGTCCCTAAACGAAATAAATATAAAAAAATATTTAAAAAACAAAAAGAAATTGTGCAAGGTGCTACGAAAAGCTAAGACTGACTGACGGTATCGGGCCTTATCGACCTGACATTTTCGATTAGTAATTTCTCATTTTCTGTTTGGAGGATCCAGGGGCGAGGCCAATGTATAGACAAGTGATTCATGAGGATTTTAAAAGTATAAAAATTTGTAATGTACAATACGCTTTGACTAAGATAATAGAGGTAAGATACCACCCGGAGGTGTCGGGTCGAAAGTGCCTACCACGCACAATAAGAAAGTCAAGTGGGTGCATTTTTGGACTGCCACCGCACCAGCTGAAAGTCACTGTTTTTGTATACGCAGTGAACGTGTTAAAGTTTAATATAATTAGGCATATGCATTCTTTTTTATTAACACACCTCATTTCCGTTAAATATAGCACCGATTTCTTCGTACGGTTTTTTACATGGCTTGGTAGGTTTGTCGCCAGCTTTCCCCATATTAACAATAATTAATTAACTTTATAATTTTGTGCCTAATGAAATATGAAATATTTTACGTTTGAAAGATGTTCATAGACTAAAAAGAGAAGAAATAATATTAAATACTATGCGAAAGAGGTTTTTATTTATTCATGTTTAGTATCTATTAAATAAATATATATTTTATAAATTATAAAAATATATTTTTATACTCTAGCTATAATTTTACCACGGTAATGTAATGCATAAATATTACCGTGATTTTACTCTCTTTCTTTCAGAGAGAGCTTAGCAACAACTAATTCTGTCCACCATTGTCGGCATGGCGGAGTGCGTAATGAAAAAATTAAGACATTTTTTTTAATTGTAGGTACTGGGATTAACATGTATTTACAAGGATGAAGCCTGTGTACCAATTAGACACATGTATTCAATTTTTACTTTTTATTATTAAAAAAATAACCCAGCGTAACATAATATAATTATAAGATCTTAAATTTATCGATTCAACTCTAATAAAAGACCGAAACGAGACAATTCTTTAAAAACATTGGATTTATCCCGTCGTTCTTACCATTATTCTTATCAAATTTTTAATTACTAACTATTGGAAAACCCTAGATTTCTGTAATTCCAGACTTTATAATGGCATATTATTATTATTTTTTCATTCAATTCTCCCATTGCTGGGGTATATTTTTCTCTAACGCGGACGTTAATCAAACGTTAGAGATATTATTATGTATTATAAAATATAAATAAGTTTAAAATATTATATACTTACTATATTGGAATAAATGTTTGTTGATTAAAAATATCTACTTCAAATTGAGTGTGTGATATATTAGAGTAAGTAAGAAGTCTGACTCATATTAAGTACCTACTAAATTTTATATAAATATATTAAGTACATAATACATTGACGAAGATTGAATGTGGCTTTCGAATATATGCAAATTGTAAATATATTTTGCACTTTAGCTATTTTATTACTTATAATTTTCAGTAATTAGACATGTCAACTTTTATTTCTTTTTTTTCTTCTGCTTATTGCAAATACAAGGAGGTGGGTCTGGATCACACTGAGCTTCTCTAGTATCGTAGCGATATGGGCCAGTTTTTTCAGGTCCTTTAGGAGTCACCAGCTCTAATTCCATTTTACTACGACGATCGCCATTGGGTCCTACTTTAGCCACCTGTATATGTGATAAAGATAAAACGTTGTTTTCAGAAATTATATATAATAAGTATAATATGATTGAATAATTAAACTTTGCCTTTTTTAAGGTGTAGGCGGTACAACTAGAAAGTTATAAACGTCATTTCTGCTCCTGGACAACATCTACCATAACCATTACACATTACTATTATTTAAATAACACGCTCACCTTCAGAATGAAGACATCTTTTCTGGGATGTAAAACGGCTTGTACGGCACCCGGACTAGGGACATTTGAGGGAACTAAGTTGCAAAGCCAGGGGCATATGTTGGGTTTACCACCCTTCTCCTGCTTTGATTTCGTCGCCTTTAGTTCTGTTCTTTTTGCACACATTGTGGATTACATGAAATTTACTTGAAAATTTATAAAAAAAATATGCTACGTTGGTTAGTTTAAAACTTTTTACAAATTAATAAAACATTTTAGGATTTGTGAAAGAAAATTATTGTCAAACAGAATTTGTTATTGGTCACGGTCGTGGCATGACAAATCTGGTTTATGGCTTACGATTATAATGCATAAATAATTATTGTTATAGAAACAAGTTTTATAAAAAATAATAATTAATAAATTAGTTATAGTTATTCTTAGTTTTAGCAAATTTTAATCAGTGTGGTAAATCCAAAGATACAATGAGATCTCCGTTCTTTGTGCTCTAGATATACAAACTATTTAGTCGTTAATTTAGTTTTAAAATTGCAGAATAATCGGAAAAGTGAATAAGAAATAAAATATTTGGATTTCACACATTTTTTGAATTTTCATTCATTTTATGGACATTATTTTATATAATTACTATAATTATAAATATGTTTGTTTTTCAAAGTATTAATCTTCTTATTCGTGCTCTAAGCATTTCATTTCAGAAGGTTGTGTTCTTGAAAGGCATTCTTAGATTTTTCCGTTGCATCCATTGATACATAAAAATATAGATGCACAGTTCCTAACCAATATCTCTTTAAAAAAGTGGCCTTGTTAGTGATGTTAAGTCAAACCAAATGATCTAAGATTCGGCTGCAAGACGACGAGTATCGAGTAACATTCATCGAGTATTTAATCAAAATCATTTTTCTATATACAATAATAAAAGGGTCATTATGTTTGACCGGGTAGCACATTAAAATGTGTCCGCGGGTATTTTTAAATAAATTATTAATAATTGACTTTTTGGAACAAAATCGATTCACTTGTTATTAAAATAAATTATACTAAACTTCACAGCAATATACGTAGAGAACTTGAAAAGTGATAGTTGCCTTTGCGCACTTGGCCGCAACCTCTTCGCAGCAAGGTGTAAGCAAATAATATTTTGTTACATTTATACGTTCATGGGCTATACCTATTCTTTATTTTTGTATCAAATTAAACCTTTTTTTCTGTATATGAAAATAGTTTTTCTTAGTATAGGCAGAGGTAGTACCTCTGCCTATGTAAAAGTAAATGCGCGAATAGCAGTTGCCAGCGATTAAAGATTTTTTGTTACATTTATACGTTCATGGCGTATAATCATCATATATCATTAATTATATATCAAATTAAAGCTATTTTTTTCTGTGCATGATAAAATTCTCTTCTCATGATAAACCTCTGCCTATGTAAAAGTGACCGCAAATAGGAGTTACAAGCTGTTAAAGATAGATTAAAGTAAAAGAGAGTTAGCGCGTTGGTTAACTGTTTGTTGCCATGGTAAGCTTAAATTCTAATTATGTTAACATAATTTTGAACTTATGCGTGTGAGAAACAATGTGATTCCAAATTGTGTTTTCCAAAAAACAATCGCCTGCGGGAGTCAGTCATTTGAAACCTATACAGAGTTGTTGTTGCATTTATTTTATTTTCTAAGAAAAATAGCAATTTGATAATACCTATTGCCGTAAAAATTCCGAAAAAAAATTGTCTGGTCTTCGGCTTATACTTTATATAAGTTACTTGTTAATTTTCATTCAGTTTTAAGGTTTTATACAAACAATTGATATCGGTTTTTATTAGAATTTCATTTATCAATTTTCAATGGCTTATTTACGTATTGGAATCAAAACTTTAGAGTAAAGTGAACTGAAATGTCGTATACACCCACGGTCGCAATTTAATTTATTACCAAAGTGCATCCGCCCAGCATCCTGCAGCATATTGCTTGAAGCTAGTTGAATATGACGGCGGAGACGCCGAATACAGCATAGGAATGGAGTTTTGGAATGAGATGAAATTGAATGCTTGACCTTTTCCCTGACATTGGATTATCTATTTATATTAGTGACTAGCATTGCCCGCGGCTCCGCCCGCGTTCAGATAACCAAAAATTAAATTTTTAGGCTTTACATATTAGTATACTCTTACATTGCAGTTTTTGTATTTTTTCTCAGAAATGAGACATTTTCCTATATGTTGACCCGGATAACCAGCTATCACCATACCAAATTTCATCAAAATCCCTCCAGTGGTTTTTCTGTGATACGATAACAGACAGACAGAAATTCTAAAAACTATAGATTCGGTCGCTGTATCGATAATAATGTTTATTTCAATAAGATTTTCCAAAAAATATTTAATGTACAGATTCGGCTTAGTTACAATTTTATTATATGTGTAGATTTTTATAGCCTTCATTCTCATCGAGTGTATAAAAGTTGAAATATACAGCTTGAGCTTGCTGTCATGTTAGGAGTTAGTGTAAAATAAACTAATGGAGTAAAAGGGTTTATAATGAATAAAAAAAATGTTTGTCATTATTTCAATTTTATTGACATATGTGATATGCTATTTTTAAAATTATTCAATTTCTATGTTTCTTCTTTTTAATATTGCGTAAACGTTTGAGGTTTGTTGCGTCTGGCTGTATGTCAGACGCAACATGAAGAGCAACTACTTACATATGTTTTAGGAGGTTTACATGGTAATACCGAGTAACATTTTCTTGGCAAGCAAATGGGTCGTTTTATACAACAAGCAGAGCATGGTCCAGGCACGCTTCGGCAACGGACCACAGGGCATACTTTAGACCGATTATAACAGGGAGAGAGTCTTTTACGGTGAGATTTTATCCTTGGTTGACTATGTGACTTACGAGTTCGTTTGCGCCCAACTGGACATAGTCGAAGACATGGTGAGCTTTTGCATGGAGTAGTACATTGGGTCCTTGCACAAGGCGGGTTGCAAGGGTTTTTACATGGTGAAGGGGAGCGACAAGGAGGCTTTCGAGAGTAACATGGCTTACATACAAAGCAAGGATTTCTACTACAAGAAATTTTACAACATTTTTTGCATGGTTTTGAACGGCATGGAGTTTGGGCGCACGGTATTCTTTTGGGGCACTTCGGTCTACAAGGTGACGGAGGACGACACCCAATTAACTTACATTTTGAATGGCGGCAACTACTAGGAGTGATGTATGTTATTGGACATGTAGTATTGTATGGTGTTGGACGAGGAGGCGGCGGAGTCCACTCCAACATTAATTCGTTTTTTGCTAATGGAGCTCCAGTCAATTTTCTTATAACTATTTCAAAAACACCTCTTCTTGGATTATTTACTGTTGTTACTTTTACCGGTCCTTGTTCTTCTCCAGAAGAAGCTAATATGCATTTAGGTCCTTGACACGGCTCACTACCGTGAACAGGGCATTTATCTCTAGGCCCAATTTTTATATGTGATACTGTCATCATCATATCTTCTTTCGTTGTTCCTACCGCGGGACATGGTTTTTGTACTTTATCATCTTTTATAGTTACAGTCTTTGAAGTACCTGATGCAGTTGCTGCTCCTTTTGATGTCTTTGTCGGCAAATTTGGTTTTGGTTTCGAAACTGAGACTTCACTACTAGGACTTTTTTCATTTGTTACAGAACTGGATTGGATACTTGATTTAGAGTTTATTTTTTTTACGTCGTGTTTAGCTCCGGTACTTATAGCTGCTCCTTTTGATGTCTTTGATGGTGAATTTGGTTTTGGTTTCTTAATTGAGGCGTCACTTCCAGCTTTCTTTTCGTCTGTACTTGATATTTTTATATTTTGTTTTTGATCACTTTTTGCACTGACGCTTTTTTCTAGGTTTGACTTTTGAGATTTAGATCCCATCCCCTTCTGTTTATCTTCCTGTTTTCTTCCAAAGAAATATACTTCAGGGTTAAACATTTTCTCAGGTACACAATTTCTATTATCTCTATATGGTAGAGAAGACATAGTACATGTCGAACAGTAATCAGAATTCGAATCCATCACACTCATTGATGGCTTCTTCCACTCGATATAAACTTGAAAACATTTATTAATTGATGCAGTAGCTTGTGTTCCAGACGATTGACGAAGGTAGCAGAATTTGTCCGATAGAGTCATATAAACAGATGTTTCCTTTTTTCCAAATAAGCCATTATTCATAATTTTCGAAGGTAAAATTGAAATATGAGATTTTCTTGGATGTTGAGCATTTTCGAAAAATATAGAATACTTTTTGGCAGTTAGACTATTAGCCTGTAAGTATTGACTTGATGCTGAATATGACGAAACAGATGATAATTGATGGAAATTGAAATCTTTAAGTACACCTATATTTGTATTGTGTAGACCATAAAATCCTAAATTATTTTGTCCTGTATTTCTCAGGATATTCACATCTTTCTTTGGGTTATCAGTAATTTTTTGGTGGAACGACAGCATGGGCGGGTTACCTACGGTGATAAGGTGATTTTTAAAAAATAAATAAAATAAAAATTAGTTGAAAGTACGTATAAAAATTTAATATTATATATAAAATTCAAATACAAATATAATTATGAGTACAATTAGAATTATTTATTTAATTAGATTTACATTTGTAGCTTTATGGACAGTAATCAGGACATGTTGGCACACATTGGGCGGTACGCGTATCTTTTACAGGTACAATTCTTTCGTGAGTTATAACTGGTGTAATAAATTGATATTCTAGTTTTGATTTTCTTCCGGGCATTTCTATAGTCCTACCGATTCTCATTTTTATGACTTGTTTTGGAAAGTCATATACAACGCCCGGGTAATTTTCAGACGAGGGTGACAATAATCCTGCCTGGCCTGGCTCATCTCTTGAAAGATCTCCTATTCCATCTGAATTAAAGTTGAAGTGTGTTCGTTGCTTATGACCTTGTTCACAGGTATCAGTAGGCAATTGAAATACCACCTTGTTTCCAGTAGGACAGCAATCTAAGCAACAGGGAGTATGCATCGTTATTAGTACTAAAATATAATTTTAAAATAAATGCAGTTAGTAACGTAAACATAAAATAAATAATATTATATGGCTTACAATTAAGTAGCTTTAATCAATTTGGGTTAATTTAAAAATATATACTAAGTTAACCCAAGCATGTTAAGTGAAATCTACAATAATTTAAAAGTATTTCTAATGTCACTGTGTTAAGCTGAATTTATAGAAAATGCATATTCCCTATTGAACTTGTATTTTATAATAAAAGGAAATTTTTATTTTTATTGTTTTCAACATTAAGCTTTAACATAGTGCTTATTTTTTTCTTTTCGGCTTTTTTAATCTTCGAATGCAACATTCGCAATCTAGATTAGATTGTAAGCATGTATTCATTTTCTTAATAGGAGTTTTCTTGTCTGGTCCTTTTGGAGTAACCAGCTCTAGTTCCAGTTTACATTTTTTTTCATTTAAAGTAGCTGTTTTAGCTACTTTCAATACGAAAACATCTTGATTAGCTAGTTCAGGTTGTTTACAATCGCCACGAGCCAAAGTAAGTTGCTGGCCATGTTTCGAAGTTTGAAGACAACCTTCTGTTGTACAACTAAATTGTGTATCAGCCAGCTTTTGATTACAACAAACAGCTTCACTAGGTAAAGCCAAACTTATTTGATTTTTCCCACATGGTGGTTGGCATGGGCCACTACCTGTCTGTTTTGTAAAAGGACATTGCATAGCACAATGCGTTTGACTAATCTTCTTAATAATCGAAGCACTGGCGGGTACTTTTATTTTTAGCTCATTTCCTCCAAGAACTGTACCTATTTCCTCGAATTGTTTATTGCGACCTGGCCAGCAAAAGGTTTAATACAATCCCTTATTAACTAAATATAATACTAGTGCTTCTCAGATTTAAATTTACTAATAAAATTAAATATTTTGGTAAGACAAAATAATGATGCTAACCTTTAGGAACGTGTAAGCAATATTGATCAGTATTTCTGCAAATCATCTGCTGCTTAGATACCGGTTTTGGCCCAGAACAAAAACAAGGGTCATCAGGATCCTCACAGGGCATGCTATTATATGGATCTTTCGCTGTAAAAAATATAATTAGGAGTTCTTATTATATTTTAATTTAATAGAATTAAATTTTATTTTATTTTAATTTATTTGACGGCGGTATTTTTGAAGTTAAACTTTTTTCGAATCGTTGTGATTTGAAACTCGATAAAACGAAAATGCGACACGAGAAAGATACAAACACATAAATATAATATAGGATTAAGTCGGCAAGAGAATGAGATAGAATACATTACACAGGAAGTGAAAAATAATACTGAATAATATGTTATGTAATATATGTTAAATAAAATGTAAAATTATTTTTAAAGTTGGTAAAAAAAAACTAAACCTTACAACTATCCTACTCTCTATACTAATAATATAACTCTTTATACGTTTATCTTATTCTCTCGTAGGTTACTTTTGTGAAGTTTCACTTCTACCTTGTGTGAATTGCACACAGACTTTTTTAAAACGTAAGCATCCATTTTTACCTGGTGGACACACACCACTTGCGCCACTTAAGTTGCAAGGTGGAGCCATGTCACTTCCTCCACCACCACCATAGCCTCGTGCAGCACCACAAACACATGGATCTTGCATACTTTGAAAATCTTTGTTAGGTGCACATGATCTGTCTACAATTCCAGAACTTTTACCTGCGCCTAGATTGGGGGGACCACCTGGCCCTTGAAACCTTGTTATTATCAATTTTCCAAAGCAAGATATTCGTAAAAACATAATTATATCACCAGTTTCTGAGCCGTCTGGTCCAACAATCTTAAAAGAATCTTTCAGTGCTTGGTAGCTGACATTAGTTGGATCTTCTAAGAACGTATTTCGAGCTTCGACAAACTCTTTGGTCATATCAATAGTACATTCTCCCATTACTATTTTTGTAGGTAAGCAACCACATGGTAGAGATTTATACACAGAAATATTTATATTATATTTAGACATAGCACTATTAATTTGACTCTCAGTAAGTGAGAAAAGGCAGGACTTTCCATTGTTAAAAGATTTAATAAAAGGACCATTGCTTGTTGCTATACAAGTTCCAGGTTCATCGTCACATATCTCCAGCGGTTCAACTCCTATACACTCAATGTTAACGCATGTTTTGAAATCCTTGTCGGAAAAGCAAGGACTTTTAATAAAAACAATTTTATCGATTAACACTTCCAGAAGAAAAAGGCTATCATTCTGTTTCGTCATTTTTAGCGTTATCGGGGACGGGACTTTAATTTTTTATTTTAATTATAAAATGCGTGTATATCCATACCAAAATTTAGATTGTGATAGAAGATAAACAAAAGAATTGTACGTCTTTACTTTATAAACTTTTTTTTTATAAAAAAGATCCTATAAGTAAGATCCTATATGCGATATTCTATATCCTAAGTATTAGCGATTTCTGTAAGAAAATATTTACAGATAGAAGATTTTACTTAATATTTCAATATTATAATAAAATAACATTAAGATGTAAAATAAAAATATTTTGAAAGTTTAGTTAATCATTTATTTATCAACAATCATCGAGTAATATTTATTTCATTGAAATGTCGGTTTAAAAAAAGGTAAGTATAACGATGATAAAAATACAAAATTCAAATGTGTAAAAAAATATTATAAAACGAAAAAAAACACCCTTTTTTACAATTCATTTCGAAAACCTTCGTATAATACTGTCGTATTTTATTGATGGATAATTTTGATAATACCAATTACAAGCTTCATTTTTAAAAGGTCGCCCAAATCTGAAAATTATATTGTGTGTTTAGTAACACCTAAGTATATATATATATATATATATATATATATATATATATATATATATATATATATAATGTAAAGCGTAATTACGTAGAATCGATATGATGCGATTCTTGTGAGAGAGGCATAAATGACTTATCTATAGCTAGAAAAATAAAAAATAAATCTTACTTAATACTACTGGTAACTGTAGGAATATCATTATATATGTGAAAGTTTGCATTTGTGCGTGTGAAATGTTGTTAAGTTGCTTTACGCAAAAACGGGCGTTTTTTTTTAGATTTAGATGAAATTTAGAACACGCATAAACTATGACCTATACTAGATCTATCTAGAGTAACACCATAGTCACTAGTGTAAGTGTAAGTCGCTAATGCAATATAAAAGTAATCTTACTCATCCATCATGTTTCTTATTTTTTCAGGAGGTAATGTAGTGGTTACATCTGGATAATATCTCCATCTTTTCTGAGTTGTCTCAAAAATAGGCGATGACACTTTTTTAAACCCAATGTCAGTGGTACAAGAGCGACACTGCACATCCAATGCTTGCTGTAGAAAAAATAGTCGAAATTTTTAAATTATTATATTTATATAGATAATCTGTCCTAACCTCCTAGGTTTTGTGGTAACTCTACTTAAGAAATATGTTATAAAAAAGAAATATGTTAAGAATTATACTATCTACTAGAAAAACAAATCTTTCCCACGGGGACCGTAGATTTTTCCATGATAAAAAGCCTTTGTGGCATTCCAGACTATTCAGTCAAATCCAAACATCCAAACATCTAGAGCTAAACTTTCACATTTATAATATTAGCATAGAAGTAGAGATTTCCAATAACTTACAAAGTACGCGTTATGGTATGAATGAATACATACATATGTAAATTTACCTTGTCTCCTTCTTTAAAACCGATACATGTATTTTGACGTCTATACTTAACACAATCAAGGTCATACTGGTACGAACGAGGAAAAACATCTTGATGAGCTGTTGAAAGTTATTATTAGCACAATATAATTATTATAATATTATGACATTTTATTTTTCTCTAAATTATGCCATCGTACATTTTTACAGAACTATAATGGTCTACCATACGTTGTTTTTACTTAAATATACAACTGCATAGGCAGCGCTCGCAATTAACGCTATTCCAAACAATATTTTATTAAAGATAAGGATAATACTACACGCTCGTGGTATGACGGCAAAAGGTGGCGTGATGCTTCTACGGATTTCTCAGACGTGCGATATTTTCCCGCAGTAAAAAGTTTTCTATACGTTGATCGGGATAGCCACCTGTCATCATACCAAATCTCATCAAAATCTGTCCAGTGGTTTTCTTGTGATGCGGTCACAAACGACTAAAATCCTAAAAACTATAGATTCAGTCTCTGTATCGATAACAATGACTATTCCAATAAAATTTTCCAAAAAATATTTAATATACAGATTCGACTCAGGATTCTATATATGTATAGATGAATTCTAATATTAATTAACATAGATGTTTCACATCTGCAAGACTACCCTAACGGCCAACTTTTTTTAAACGGTTTTACTTTACTTTAGTTTTACTTTACTTTAACTTTAGTATCTAAACTATCTTACGTGGCAGTATCTTCTCAGTAGTCATACCGTAATTGTAATAAGCATCATGAAGCGTGTATGCATTAGCACCAGGCTTGTCGACCCAAAATGCTTTATCTTTTTTTACCATGTTTTCAATTACAGCATCTGGGAGTTCATCTATAGTAGGCCTGTTGCGCAACACAGTACATAATTTCGATAAGGAAAATTAATATATTATCTATCGTAGCGACAGGGACATTTAGTTACCTAACTTTGCTAGAATATTGACGGTAGAACTTTCAAGGAAGTAGGTACATAAAAATATATTGTGTCTATATGTAAAGCAGAATACAATAGTTAATGTAACGTAAGCTAACCTCGGTGGCACTTCCACGAGATCTCTGGTCAAAGGTTGTAGAAATTTAGCTACTGTTCTCTGTGTCAATGTAGGCGGTCGACTAGATGTCAAGGTTTCATCTGTGCGTACTGTAGGCGAAACATCGTCGATAGCGTATCTAAAATAAGAAATTAAAAATACTTGCAATTATTATATAGAAATCTACAATTAACCATTGTTTCTGTTTTTGTTACAATAGTTTTTAGGTAATCCAACAGGTTTTTAGGTAATCCAAAGGTACAATAAATAATATTAACTTGTCAGGCTGGTATCCACTGAACTTCGCAACGTTACTTTGCGGGTATTCTGGGTGTGACATTTTTTAAACTGAATGTAAGTTATAAACTTAAACCTTTGCTAAAAATATTTCTATTTTTTCATTTGACATAGGTATGTATAATTTGATAGTATTTTGACATTAAGACAAAATTCTAAAATAATCTTAACTACGCACAAAGATTAAATATTGCTATGGTATAGATCTACTTATTCATATTTATAAACTATTATGTTTAATTTATTGGCATTATTTGCATAAAATCGTTTTTTAAGTATGATTTATCACTTACAATAAAAACTTTTTAACAAAAAAATGAAAACAGACTTCAAACAAAATCACTAAAAAGTAAAAAATAACTGATTGGTAGTTTTCATTTACTATACATACCTAATCAAATAATTTCGAAGTCGGTGCCAGTCGATACAAAGCAAACACACCGACTTCGAAAATATTTGATGCTGTAAAGCATTCGAAACGTCGGGAACCAAAAATCAAAATAAATCCGCGAAATAATCCGAAAAGATAGTTTTATTTTGTAGGTAGCTACTTTAAATATTTAATCAATTTTAAATCTGTCCGTCTGTCCATCCGTCCGTCCGTTTGTCCGTCTGTCTGTCTGCTACCGCATCACAAAAAAATTATAATGTATTTTTTTAAGTTATTCATTTAAAATATTCGTTGTTTTGGGTCCTACTATGTTAATAAAGATCTCTTATAATAGTTTTTCTCAAATATCTATACTAATATTATAAAGAGGCAGATTTGGTTTGTTTGATTGAACGCGCTAATCTCAGGAACTACTAATCCGATTTGAAAAATTATTTTTGCATTACATAGCCCGTTTATCGAGGAAGGCTATTAGGCTATATACCTATATCCCAGAAAATGTTTCCGTGGGCTAGATTTGTTTTTGTCTAGGGACGAACTCGTAGCCAAGTAAGGGTGAGTCGCTACTCTTCCATATACAGACAGCAATCAGTCACATTTTTTTATTTATTTTATAACATTTTATTATAAGTACAGATTTAACAGGGACCGAATCTTCTATGATTTTCATTACTTATTTAAATTTCATCTTCTTTTTGAATTCACATGATACCTACGTTATTACCTTTTTTATTTATTTATATTCTTGATAATGTAATTAAGGCACATAATATTATGATTTATATTATTAATGTTGATAATAAAGCGTACAATAAATAGCAAAATTGTCAGAACTCTAAAATAATTTTCCAACAATTCTTAGTAGACATCTCAGACTAAAGATATTATTATTCTTTTAATTTGAGGAAACAAAATGAATCAAAAGTAATCTCGCTATTATCCATATTCCATACTTCTTGTAAAACTAGTTGTTATATCGTGCTCTTCTCGTCACTTACATAATGTACGTATTTCACTTAATACTATGACTCTATGTACACAGTATAGGAGAAAAAATGTTGTTGGTGTCATGAGTAACATTTTTATCCCTTCACCTAAGCCATCCATTAAATTCATCCTAAGACAAGATTTTTTAGTCTGAAATTATACCTATGATACTTCCGGAGTTCTCATATTAACGTTAGTTTAACCTATGTTGAAGACCATTTTTAATTAATTTTCAAATGCAATATGTAATATTATTCAACATTTAGATTGTTCAATCAAGTTCAATAGATCATAAAAAATAACATACGTTATGTTTACATCTCGGTATGGTCGGTATGGTATGGTTACGTCTCGTCCATCCGCTTTAGATTAAGATTTACATAGAATAAGAGAGACGCAAACTCAGCGTCTAGTCGGCCCACCCGGCATCCGCCGGCCGAGTTTGTATTTAGACATTAAAGGAGCCTCAAATCGGCTACATTTAGTTTTATTCTTTTTTTATTAATTTAGTTTCAAGTTAGTATAAATAGTTTTCGAAACGCTCTGAAACAAAAAGTAGGTACTTATGCGATAACCCACATATTATGATTTCAAACATTTTTTAATTTATATAATTTAATAAATCCATTCAATTTCCTGTTCGAATACTAGCTGTATAATATTCTGTATATGTGTAAGGTCTAACTTTGCATTATAGAATACTAGCAGAACCCGCGGCTTCGCTCGAGCTAATACTAACACCTTCACCTCCAGGTAAATTTCTAAGAAATTAATTCAATTTCTAAGAAATCTATTGTTAACTGTAACGCCGGCGTGTCCGCGGTCGTTAAGGGGTTAAAAAGGTAGGTTTCATACAAACTTTCATCACCTATTTTACCCTCTTATGGGATAAGCATTAATACCAAGTTACAAGTAATTATGATTATAAATATTTTTTGGGTTATTTAAAGCCTGTTTTCCCGTGGGAATGAGATAATTTCTAGCCTAAAATAAATGTAGTCTTAGTATGTCACTCCCAAGCTCTCCAACTATCTCCACACGAAAAATCACGCCAATCCGTCCGTCTGTTTCGACGTGAAAGAAGGACAAACAAACAAACAAATACACTTTCACATTTATAATATTAATAGTATGGATGTGTGTGTAGTTATTTGTTTTGTCTGTAAACTCCAACAAGTCATTTTTGTCAAGTAACCATATTTTTGGATCATGTTTTAAATTCAACTTACATTAAAAAAAGGTTTTATAACAGAAATTTTTGCTTAACATAAAACTTTGTATATGTTATTTCTTAAATAAGTCATTGGTATTCCATCTTAATATATAAAATTTTAAATATATTTCAACATTGTTCGCAAAAAAAAAGTATTTTAATATTTTTTGACAAATTGCAACGTTCAAAGATATCCAAAAGCAAAAGATTTTAAGACCATAAAACTTTGTTTAAAAATAATCAAATAATGATATATTTATAAAGTGATTGTAACTTTAATATTATAAAATGAGATTTTTTAGTTTCATTTGTTAAGTTCTAATAATACAAATGAAAAAAAATAAAACGTAGAATGTAGACTAAGCTTTACTATACTTTTACATTTTTAAAATATTTGGACTTGAAATAAATAATATGACATTATGTTGTACGATATCAAATTGTAACTATTTAAAACATAATTTAAAAATGCTTATAGCTATAAATTTTATGTCAATATTACCATCTGAAGCATGTGATGGCGCGCCTGCGTGTTTTGTATAGCTTACTCTATGATTATCTGTGTAATAATTCAGTCGGAGCCTGGATTCGCAACTCGCAAGTAAAAGTAATACACTCATTAGTGTGCGTTATCACTGCTGTACGTAAATAAATTTTGTTCTCTGACTCATAAATACAGGATACTTTTGAAAAACGCTAAAATGTCGAGAAACATTGTGTTTGAAGGCTGGTTAACTAAATCACCTCCTTCGAAGCGAATTTGGAGAACGGTAAGTAAAATTTAGTCCTAAGTTAGTTTGTTGACAGATTGGAATTTCGTTGGTTACTTGCGGGAATTTACATTTAAATTTGTTATTAATTTTTTATTTTTACATAATTAAACTAAAATTATTTTTTTTTGTCACACTAATTTCAATTTACGATTAGAAATGGCGGAGAAGGTGGTTCGCCTTGCGACAATCGGGTGAACTCCCAGGGCAGTATTACCTAGACTATTATGCAGACCGTAATTGTAGACGGCTCAAGGGTTCGATCAACTTAGATTTCTGTGAGCAGGTAATTATTAACAATAAATTTATTCATCATTTTAAGTTTTATGTGATAGTTCTAAAGTATTCTTTTTCCATGAATGTCATATTTATTTACTTTGCACAATTTAAATAAAATTAATAACTTATAATAGGTGGATGCTGGGTTACATATGGAACGCAGTAGTAATTGCTCGTTGGATCCAAAGATGAGAGGTTCCGTTTTCACAATTCAAACACAAACTCGAACCTATCATCTTGAGGCTGATTGTGAAGCTGATATGGAGAAGTGGGTTGATGCTATTTGTAGAGTATGTGGTCTCCGTGCTACAGATGAAATAGCTAATACAACAGGTATAAATTTAACTTTTACTTAAATATATTGTATTATTACATTGGTATGTGAATGTAATGATGGTAGAATACAAACTTTGTGTTAATAAAATATATTAGAGTCTTGATTTTTATTATTGACATTCTTGTATATAATGCACATTGTATTTATTCTAGTGTATTTTTTATTAGGAATTTAACAAATGTATCTTATATATTTGATGTTATAAAATTTACTGATAGGTATAGATAAACATAACTAACAATAAGTAAATATACATATTTGCTGTCGCGAATTTCCATGCATTTATACTTAATTTAAAAGCTGAACAAGTAATGAGATCATATACAAGTCCTAACGTGAGGTGTCACTTTAGATTAAATTGACAGCTATGAAACATAGTTATATTTTAGAGTAGAAAACAAAATAGCCAGCACTACAATTTTTATTTAAATCTGTCTAACTGTTCCTACATTTCCATATACAGAAAATATATCTAAAAATGCTTATTTTGTCTGTCTCGAGTATTCAGTGTATAAAAATAGTTTTTATGCTCTTGCGTATTGTTAATTTATTTTATTGTGAATTATTGCCATAGCTATTTTTAATTATATATAATTATTAAGTTGTTTTCAATAATCCTCATCTTGACGAGATTCTAAATGAATTATTGTGAATGCTTCTGCGACTTGTGAAATTATACAAAAATTAAAAAATACTATTTTTTGCTTATTACAAAAATATTTGCTATGCCGAAATATTATTAATACACCCTAACATGTTTATAAATGACATAAATTTATATTTTAGGTTTATAATAGAATTGTAACTAAGCCGAATCTGTACATTACATATTTTTTGGAAAATCTTATTGAAATAAACATTATTATTACAGAGGCTGAATCTATAGTTTTTTAAATTTTTGTCTGTCTGTCTGTTACCGCATCACAGAAAAACCACTGGAGGGATTTTGATGAAGTTTGGTATGAAGCTGGTTATCCGGGTCAACATATAGGGTACCTTTAACTGGGAAAAAATATCTCATTTCTGAGAAAAAATAAAAATAAGAGTATACTAATACGTAAAACCTAAGAATTTGGTTTTTGGTCCAACAATGGTGGCTAGTATATAATATAAATGTTTAAAACTATATTTTGTATTAGACAATAAAGATTTAAGAGATGCCTGTGCAAAAAATCATTCAATATTATTTTTAGGAGTGTATCAAAATCATGCAATGACAGTTAGCAAACACGAAAATGCTACAATGAAGGTAAAGTCGGCTAATAAAAATGCTACACCGATGCCAGTAAATGACCAGAAGAACTCCAGTACAGCAGTCAATAATAAGAGTTATAATACTGTTAGTGTGAGCGATCAACCAAGCAATGCTGTGACAATAATAAATGATCAATATGACTGCTCAGAAAGTACCGGACCATATATACCAATATCGGAATGCATTACAGGTGTTCGGGCACAAGTAATATTCTTCTTCTTGTTTAATCTTCATTAAGTATATATTTTTCCACACTTCTCATAAATAAATTTCCTTTTAGGATACCCAGAGGGCTTTTACATTTGATCCTAAGGATATAGTCACTAGCACTAAAATACCATTTGAAAGAACTTCCCATTTAAATCAACCACAAATAAAAATTAATAATATTGAGCTTTCTGAAAATGAATCCAATATCAGTGAAGATGAGTGCAGATCATTGAATAATTGTCAATCTACAGGTATAGAATAGTGACTTAGCAAAATTTAAAAAATAAATAAAAGCTAAAACTATTTTTAATATTCCTATGTTGTTTTAGGAGAATTGACTGTAGCAAAGAGTTTTACGAAAATGTCTATTCATCAACTTAGGCATGATGGAGGCGGAGATAGTGGTATTATTTGTTTTTTTTTATTATTTAATAGAAAAAATATTTGTTTGAATTAAATGTCTAATGTCGTTCAATAGGACCACCAGTTCCTCCTCGCCCACCAAAAACATTTGCTATGAGTAAGGATTTGTGTCACAGAGAATCATTCCACGGCCCCAAAATTCAAGAGCCAACAGATGATAATGCAGTAAGTATTTTGAGGTATTTTAAATAAAATATTTTCAATGTAGGAAACATTTCACTTTAAGTGTAATACATGATTAAGACTAGCTAGCACGCATTATTTCAAACGACAAGAGTTAAGACAAAAAAAAAATTGTTACATAAAATATTAAGCTAAACAAAATAAAGTTTTTTCTATAAAAAAGCCATAAAACAAAAAAGCTCTAACATAAACGAAAATTTTTTTTTTTTTATTGACAATAAAAAAAAAACAAATTTTTGACATAAAAACGCCTCTCAGTCGGCATTCCCATGGATGCGGCAGCCGCGGCGTATGTCCCAGACGCAGGGCGCCCCGCCCTCCCCCGGTTGCTCCATCAGCCACAGCGCAATGCGAACCACCGACGACGACGAAGAGGACGCCAATACTGGACACGTGAGTATATGTCTCTACATACTATTATTATAAAGAGGTAAAGATTGTGAGTTTGTGACGTTGTAGGTGGTAAGTAACCTCTGGATCTACTAAACCGATTTAGATGAAATTTGGTAGGAAGATACTTTGACAACCTGGGAAGGACATAGGATACTTTTTATTTCTGAAATCATCCCTTAAGGGGGTGAAAATGGGGATGAAAGTTTATATTGCTAATCAAGCTAGGCACGAACCCGAGCGAAATGAGGGTCAGTTGCTAGTACCTGTATAAAAAGCAAATCCTGCAGTTCATTACAGCTGCAGGGCCTACTGATTTCCTCAGTTCAACATGCGGCGATATCATCGCCAACTAGGTAGACCAGGTATGGTCGAAGTGAAGACCTAAATAAAATAATAATAAGTGTTACATAAATAAAAATGAAATACTGTTTTTTTTCGTATCACTCGAGAACGGTTGGACTGATTTTGTAATTTTTTTAAATATTCTTTACGGACGTTCAGACGGACATCCTGATTAAATTTATTGAAGTTATATTTCTTGATAAAATGAGAGTGGATTAATAAAATGAGTGGATTTTTTACAATGCGACAGATTGAGACTACACGTAATTTTAAGGCTGTTTTTACAGGACGACCATACAATGTTTTTATTTTTTCAAAAAGTAGAGTTCAAGACGAAAAGAATGAGCCCTATTTGAAAATTAAACGAATTATTTTTTTATGTAAACGTCCACTTGAAGTTGGGGGTGATTTTCTTTTCTCGGAAATGGCTAAACATTTCAATTTCAATTTTGAAAATTACATTCCCTTAGTTTTATGAAAATCAAAAGTTTATTCTAGAAATTAAAAATAAAAAACCAAGAAAAAGTTAAAAACCGATTTTCTTTTGCAAATATCTCGAAAACTTTAAGGTTTTTGTAAAAAGTGTTACTTATAAAAGTTGAAGACTTTTACTAGATCTACAATGTTTGTAAAAATCATTTTTCGATAGAACGTCATAGTAAGCCGGAAATTGACAAAAAAAACTATTTTTCAACGCTTTGCGTCCCCCCATTTCTTGGGGGTAGCTGGGTATAGTGGGCATTTTACGAATTTCTATTCCTTATATACCTGCTGACATTTTAAATTCATAAAACTTCAGGTTTTCAATATTTTGTTTCCAAGCTGGATTCCGATTGGACTAAACGTTAGCTAGTTCGTGTTGTCTTGGTTAAGCTGTAAGGTTTAACTAGATTAGATAATATTATGTACCTAAGTCAGAATAGTTTGCTTATACATCTATCAGAATTAATAATCGGAAATGATAAATATTTTTATTGGTGGTTTCAAAGCAGTTGCTACAAATCGTTGTGGTCGAATGTTAGGAAAACCACAACACGGATTTCTCAGTGTTTTACACATGTAACCCCTAAAAGACACAAGTTTGCGCGTTAACCGCTAAAAAATCGCCATTTATCGTAGTTCCTCAATTTGAGGACACTCCTCTGTCTGCCACAGCCAGTATCGGAATACTTGGCGTCGACATCTCGAGCAACGTCCAGTTCCGTGGTCAATTGGAAGGTAAGGCCAACTAGCCTCAAAGAAGCTTGGTGTGCTCAGCAAGGCGAGACAGTACTTCACGTCGCGTCAGCGTCTTATTCTTTATAAGGCGCAAATTCGGCCCCTCATGGGGAGTACTGTTCTCATCTTTTGGCGGGAGCTCCCCAGTACTAGCTACTTCCATTTGACCGCATTCAACGTAGGGCGGCTCGAGTTATCGACGATCAAGCTCTCTCTGATCGGCTTGATCCTTTAGCTCTGCCTAGAGATGTTGGATCACTCTGCATCTTCTACTGCATTTATCACGGGGAGTGTTCCGAGGAATTGTTCGGACTGATCCCGGCTGCTGAATTTCATCATCGGACATCGCGCCAAAATAGTAAATTCCATCCACATCACCTCGATGTCCAGCGTTCCACAACAGTGCGATTTTTAAGGCATTTTCTGCCCCGCACAACCACTCTGTGGAACCAGCTATCGCCGGCGGTCTTTCCGAACCGCTACGACCTGGCCATCTTCAATAAGAGAGCGTATTCCTTCCTTAAAGGCCGGTAACGCATGCAAGCCCTGCGGTGTTGCAGATGTCCGTGGGCGGCGGTGATCACTTTCCATCAGGTGAGCCTCCTGCCCGTTTTCCCCCTTAGTCCCATAAAAAAAATATATGCAAAACCGACTTTCTTTTGTACCGAGCAAGCAAAATTTCACATGTGTTTTTACTCTTTTCCATTTGCCTATCTGTCAAATCATGTGGTACCCATCTACCGGTCTTCTGAATCTTTCAATCTCTCGTAACCAATTGGAAACAGGTTGTTGACTAACGCCAAATTGATTGCCGAGTTGGTTTTGTCCAACAATGCTTGCAATTCCACATCTTCGTATTTTTTGGCGGGTTTCCATGTTCTTTGTCACCGACGTCGAAGTCACTCACCACTTTTGAAACGTCGAAGCCATCGTTCAAACGTATCTTGCGATACAGGATGTTCACCATAAGCGTCTCGAAGTAATCGGTATGATTCAGCAGCAGTTTTCTTCAAATGATAACAAAAAATTAATGCTGTCCGCAAATGCTCTTTGTTCGGTATAAATTTCGATATATTGAAGACAACAACATAACACTATATACACTTTTTCAAATTATCACTCAAGCGCGTGTGATTCTTGTTTATAACAACAAAATAATGCAGTTTCATGATATCATCTTCATACCACAAATTTCATTGATGCAACGTCAGTTTTCTGAAATCCGCATTTTATACATACTGGTATGTATTTAGTTTTTTTTTCTGTGAACTGATTACAGGCGGATCTTTTAACAAAAAAATATAATCTATATAAATTAAAACAAAATGCTACTTGTTGGTAAGCGTATCAATCACTTCAGAACCGCTGGAGCGATTTGCTTAATTTCTTTTTTAGAGGTGTGTGATAGTTCCAATAAAGTTATGAGAGGAAAAATAGGAAAATCTGGGTATAAAATTAGGAAATTCGAAAAAAATGTGCCCTTATGAGATTTTTGTATAAACTCAAAAACCAATGAAGTGAAATATTTGCTTACCTATTTGGACTTTATAGTAAATTATCCGTCCGATCCGTGTGACCGTTAAGAGCGGGTCCTGTTCTCAAAAAAGTTTACGATAACGACCATTCGAAAATTGGCCAATGAGTATGGACTTGCTTATGATCGATATATAGCAAACATCTTCGTGTTTCTGGCTGATTTCGGTCCTGGCTATTTTACTGTGTCTAGTCTACTGCGAAGGGCATATTATAGTGATCAAGGATGCGCGCAAACACATGTGCAGTCTTTATTCCACTCAGTCTCAGTAGGAACGACACGACCTTAGAGAGATTAGAGCAACGAGGGTAAACACAGGTTCCCAACTTTCGGAGATACTGAGAATTTCTAAACAGAAATTTTTAGACAGTCTTTTTGCAAATGCTCGCTAGGTTTGTTCAATACCGAAGGCTTTATAATGCTTTTTAGGTTACTTAAATGCGGGCTTAAGTCACGCAGTGGTATAAAATAATTTTGGTGTACTGACATGTGAACTAATTGCCTAATTTTGAATTAAATCCAATAAATACAACACTTTTTGTATCCATATTTCTTGTTTCCCATATACAAATAAATTATTGATCAGAATTTGAACTTTAAAATTAAGACGTAATTTGTCATTCCACACAGTCGATGCAGTATTGGAATCTCTGCACGCTGCCTCCAGCGGTTGATAGGGCGCTCAAACCTCGCCACTCTAGTCACAGCATTGGTAATGCGAACAACGCATTACATAGTGTACAGGTAAATATATATTTCTTTATATTTTTAATTTGCACTTTTGTATGGCATTAAATTGGTTCATTGGAAATTTTACACAGTTAAATTTTGTCTTAGACTATGAAGTAAAAATTTAATAGTTAAAAGAAAAAATTAACAATTCCATTTTTAACAGTTCACGGCGAGTGAAGAAACAAAACCAGACGTGCTTCAGTATCTAGACCTAGACCTGCAAACATCGAAACCCACACCTTCAAACGTAAGACTTGCAATTCTATTTAAATATTTAGCCTAAAAATTACCCTCATTATAAATGTACTGTTTAGACCATTTTCCAGGGTCCGACTATCGATCCTCTTGTTGTTGATGTTTATTGAAATTTTGCTCATTATTTTCCATAATCTCATCAATCCTTAATTTGCTCTAAATAATTAATTTTTATATATTTAGACTCCCTTTAGCTCAACTCACTTCTCCAGGGGGCCGCGCCCTATGAACTTTTGAGCCGAATATTTTATTAATACTATTGTATTATTTGTGAAAATTTGTATGTGCGTGTATGTTTGTTACTCCTTCACGCTAAAACGGCTGGACGAGTTTTAATGAAATTAAATACTCAGGCTATCACTTAGAGTAATCTGTCTGGCACGTAGGAACGCATTCGAGTGAAGCGACGGTCACTACTTTATAATATAAACACTCGTTTTTCCTTTATATAGTCTCAAGAAGTATCGCGACCGACAACCATAATCCATGGTAAATCATCCTCGAATGACGAAGAGTCTGCGTACAAAACAGTGGATTTCTTGAAGACTGAGGCTTTCAATATCACGCGACAAGATGCCGAGGCATCCCGTAGTAACCAACAATGATTAAACCCCGTATATTCAAGCGTGTACAAAAAGTGGATAAACCCGAACGATCTATTCATACACTAAATTATGAATATTAATTTGTTCACGCTTTAATTGTGTATCAACACACCAAAATGGACAAGTCTAGTGATTTTAATGTACATATTATTATACTTTAAAGTATTATCTCAAAATGTGTAAAATTATTTATCTTTAATTATTTAATGTTCACGAAATTGACCTCCATTTTTCGGATAAATTTGTGGATTAATCGTGCAAAATCACAGTTGAAGCTTTTCAGAAATACGTGTATAATATCAGTGTACAGTGCATACATCATTCAAATATTCATCCATTTTCTGTGTTATGAGAGATATTTAATGTGGATATATGCTTCTTTAACGCGTCAAAATGAACGGTGTACAATTATTATGTTAATATATGCCTCGTAAGTATTATTTCAATGTTAACTATTTATATGTAGGTGCAGGCCATTATGTGATGTTGATCCAGAGGTAAGTAAGTATTCTATTCAAAATATTTTCTAAGTTCTTTCTTTTATGTATCTATTTATTCGAAAGTAAACCTTCGACTTTTACTTCACCATTTTAACCCTGTAACTTACGATACATGATAAGGTTTTGATATAAAATTTTGAAGTTTTTATAGAGAACAGTAAGGCGATTTTTTAGACAAAAAAAATCATTTTATGTTATCTACTGAAATAAAAAAAAATATAAGGGAACGAACCAATGAGAACGTTGCTTACATATAGATCAACTTAAAAGGTTCGGGACCAACTTTAGGCAATGTGATAACAAATTTAAAAATAATATTTGAAGGTACTTAAAGGTCCTATTTTTTTTATTAACAATTTTGCAACATTCAATTATAGAAGTAGATACTATGCCTAATACGCAACGTTAGTGACAATAAATTGTAAAATAAAACTTATTACAACACATTTAAATATTTTTCTTTTCGTGCATATTTGCCGTGTAAAGATTTTTAAATGTACAGTGTTAAATATGAGGATATTTCCGATTATTAGATCTTTGACGCCTGTATTGAGTGCAAATGATTGTGATCGCGTGTGATATTTTGGTACTTTCATACAAGTAGTAGCCCCCTTCATAACTTCATGACTCCTGATAAAATGACCACATGTGTACATATTCCTACATTAATAAATCACCATCAATGACAAGTATCTGAGCTGTATTGTGTATATACAACGCAACTCAGGGCTTCACGATTTTCGATTCTTTCGTGTTTTAACCATTTTCATACTCACTATTATACGCTTCGAAGTGCTTTTTACTGTAGGTAAAGGTAGTGCGTCCAATATTATAACATACCTAAAAGGTAGATAATATTACAGTAGAGTATAGATTGTGGTAATATGACTGATATTATTGAATAAACAGCTGTAAAGAGAATAATCTGCCATACTTTCTTAAATCACCATATCTATTGGAAAACTATCTGCGCGTGGTTTGAACAAAACAGCCTAGGTTACAGATTTTATTTTAAGAAATAAACTCATTACGTGTTTTTCTATCGACTTTATCGCAATGAAGGAAAAACTGCAGAAAATAATAAACATGTTTACTGTCTGAGCCACTTAAACTTGTTCAACTAAGCAGGTAAATACTTAGTAATCAGTGCTATTGAACGACCTTCTACACAGACTTTCTATTTTAACTGCATCGGTGGAGTAGTGGCTAGCATGTACGGCTGTACATCCAGAGGTTCTGGGTTCGAGTCCCGGATCGGGCCAAGATTAGTTATTGAGTCTTTCTGTTCAGTAAGCCTCAATAACAGCCCGGAGTTGGGAAGTTGGCGGTGTTTCACACCCGTGCCTCGGAGAGCACGTAAAGCCGTCGGTCCTACGCCTTAATTTTCACGCTGGAGTATGAGAGTGACAGAAATAGAGAGTGCACTTGTGTCTGTGCGTACCCTTGCGCTTTATAATATCTTCTGCTATTTTAACTGTTTCTTTTAATAGAGTTCGGTAGGAATAACTTGATACCTTTCGTGTCTTGATTAAATTTCGAGGCGGAACCTGAAAATAAATTTAAAACTATATTCTTAATTCGGTTGCTATTATAGTGTAGTAACCGTACTCTTAAAATTCTGAGAATTATTAAACCTAACTTAAATAAGTAGAAAAAATAATAATTTTTCCTAGTCCTATACAAAATTATCACCTTATTTAGCTTCCTGACTCTATACCGAACTACGAAAATATTCTTAAGAGGCTTAAAACATAAAAAGTGGGACTTCGGTATAATTTATTTACAATATTTTGTGTTATTGACTTCTTGAATAGTATATAAATCAAGTATGAAACTATATATAACTTAACAAAAATTGTATATTTTCAAACCACGTTCAGGACGTCCCTACCAGTACGTTACCATATCAAATAATTATTAGGTATGACTGACTTCTTAAGTATTTCAATTGACTTTACTTTAATATTATATTATACTAGCAGAACCCGCAGCTAAGCTCGCGCTAAAACTAAAAAAAATCTAAAAAAGGTAGTTTCATACAAACTTTCATCCCCTATTTTACCCCCTTATAGGATGAATTTCGAAAAAGGCTAAAACTCGTATTTATTGACGAGCATTAATACCAAGTTTCAAGTAATTCCGATCTAAACGAAACAAACAAATTTTTTTTCAGATTTATAATATTACTATGAATGTTATTAAGACTGTTATTAAGACAAACTTATATCTATTCGTTTCATTTAGTTATACATATATGTATATATATATATATATATATATATATATATATATATATATATATATATATTTATGTCGAACCCCTAAATCGATCTCTATAAAATTACACAAGGTCAGCTTCCTTTTGGCGATGGACATTTATTTATTTTTAGGAAATTACCGGGCCTAAAAGTAGAGGATGGAAGTTTATATGATTTTCTTTTATTTTGAAAAAAAAACAGTTGATCTATTTTGATATGAAGCCTTAGTCCTTAGTACTAACTTAGGTCAACGTCAAAGCATTTAGGAGTATATCCCGAGAAAAGAGCAGGTTCCCGCGGGGTAGCGATGATTTTTTATTTTTATTTCATATAAAGACTTAAACTAAGTCTGAAAGAATAATAAGGATAATCTTTTTGTTACAGAATTATTAGATACGTGTAAAAATATCTTCAACTTGAACTGGCAAGATAAAATATTTAAAAATTAAAATGCCAGTACCTGAGCGGGCGTTTTTCGAAATGGATAAAAAATTACGTTTTTCAGAAAAGACAGTTATAAAGTTAAATTTAAAATGCAAAACCTTACCTAAATACAAAATTTCGATATGAATAGAGCCGTTCCGAGATACATGAGATACATTTATACCGTACTAGCGGCTCACCCTCGCTTCGCTCGCGTTCGTCCTTAAGTAAATTTTAACGATTAGTATGATTAGTATATATATACACATAAATTAATAATAATTTTCTTTTATGGATATACAAGAGTTGTTTATTTAATATTATAAGATTTCTTATTTCTAATATCCACTAATTGTGGCATAGTGAAGAAGCTTAGCTAAGACTTTTGCCAATTAATGTAATTTATATTATTTCAATAATAATCAACATTTATTTACTTTGAGTCCTACCGAAATTTTAATACATTTTTTATTGGTACTCCACGGGAACTGATCTATTTAAAAAAATATTCTAGCAATTTTGTCTTCACATATTTGTTTTATAGGTATTAATATAGCCCATAAAAATAAACTTAAAGCATAAACTTAAAGCTTTACTATGAACGTGTCTTGTATGAAATGATGGTGATGTAATATTTTTAAGTATAGGTAATATATTTTTGATCAAATATTTCAAATTTCAAGTAGTTGACTATGAGAAAAAAAAATAAGAACTTGATGTTAAGTGAGCCATTTCAAATACTTACACATTTAAACAGAGAGTTGAGTTCAACTAATTTTACTGTTTGCTTCATTGATCACCAATTAGAAAAAAAATTTGCTAAACTTTTAAAAAATCAATAACATTTTTATTACGATTGATTTCGTATTTTTAAGGAATGGCTCCCTTGATGAGACTTTGAGGGCAACCTAGGAGGGGACGCACTACATAATATGACGGTTCATATATTTTTATATCGCTTAAAGTAGGTACACATAAATATTACATAATATAAGAAAGTAACGTAACAAAAAGAATATAAGGTATATAGTTTTAATTGGATATTAGAATCATCATTAACAATGGACCCAAATCTTACCTGATCCAAAACATATTTTTATAAATAATGTACTACTGTACTGTTAGATGTACATTCCTCGCTGTATACTAGGGATTAGTCGTATCTAGGTACATATAATAATTATGTAAAGTTGAAAAATCATACCATAACTTTTTAAACATAAATATTTAAAATTTTGTATATATAACTACATATGTATTACTTAAATAAAGCATAAGTCTTCTGTACATACTTTTAAAAAAATATACTTTAAAAAAACTCCTAAAAAATAAGTTTGACGTAGGTACCTACTTATACTTTTAGTAATATTCATAGCACAATTAAATCATTATCAATTGATCGAAGTAAACTATAACATTGATCATGTCACCATAAAACAATTTTATTATGTATAAGTTTTTAGATACATTATAGGGGACTAATGCTCGATTTCACCAACAACCCATAAGCTACCACTTACGTATGGGATCCCTAGCTTAAAATTCCCCTAAACTAGCCCGTAAATTAAATTTCGTTTTACCATCGTCTTTAAGCACATATTTCGAGCACCTAAATTTAGGGGACCTTTTAATTTTAATTTTTTTTTATTTTTTATATGCCTTTAACATTAAGGAGACCCCTACTGTCAGTGATATAGAAACTGTCCCCTAACAGCCCCCTAACCATGCTTAGGGGATCCCTTAAACTTAGGTGACGTTGGTGAAATCGGGCAGCATTTGTATAAATTAAAATAATAATCAATAGATATGTACACAT